AGAGGTGGAGGAGTTAGCTGCTGCAGGAAAGAACATCTTCTAGAGACCGAAAGCGAGCCAGCGGGCAGAACCCCTCAAAATCCCAGCAACAGGGCAGGAGAAAGCAAGCGCTGAGATGGTGGCATAGAGAGGCTGGGAGTTAAAACAGCTTTGGGAAAAAAGGGCGAGGAAGATCTAGGAGTAAAATAAATGATTATTGGACAGCCCAAACAGCAACTAAGACATGTGAAAGCTCAGCATGTCCCAATCTGTTCAATGTAGTTATTATAGAAACAGCATCAATTGGGACCAGCAGTTGGCATAATGGCTGTGTTGCTGGACTCCCATGTAGTCGACCGTGGTTCAAGTCCCAGACTTAGTGGCTTACACTCACGCCAGGCACATGAGCATGCTTGCCCATGATCCCGAGAGGAGAATGGAGAAGGGATGGTTGCGTGGCCATTCCCCCAGGGGGTGATTTCTTGCTTTCTGTTTCTGTCTGTCTCTTTCTGGTGAATGCATGTGCCCTATAGGAAAAACCTCTCAAATAAATAAATAAATAAATAAAGGTATGTGAAAGATACTTAAAATAAAAAAGGAACCCAGAACAGTTACACAGAAAAGCAGACATAGTATAGGCTGAATGTCCCTCCACCCACCAGTTGGTATGTTGAAGCCCTAGTCCCGTAAGTGATGGCATTTGAAGATGGGGGATTTGGAGACGAATGGAATTAGGTGAGGTCGTGAGGGGAGGGCTCCCTTGATGTGATTTATTATTGTCCTTTGAGACATTAGAGTTTGTTCTCTCCCTCTGTAGGCACAGTGAGACTGTGGCCACCTACAATCCAAGAGACCAAAAGTTGAAATTGGCCCTGCCAGTGCCTTGTTCACAGACTTCCCCAACTCCAGAAGGGAGGTAATCTGTTGTTAAGCCCACGCGCACATGTGGCCCACTGAGCAGTTCAAGCCCCGGCAGCTCGAAAATCACAAGGGGTGTATATGCCCCAAATCCCAGGAGAATGAAGGGATGTCAGCTTGGCCATCCCCCCGGGGGTGATTTCTCACTTTCCTTGACTACCTCTCCTTCTCTGTCTCCAGTAGCGTGCACATGCCCTGTGGGGGGGGGGGGGGGAATACGCTGGGCACAGTGCTCTCAATTCTAATGAGATGGAAAAATGCAAGAAGGTCTGAGACCCTTTAACGGGGTGCCTTCCCTCTCTGGTGAGCACATGTGCCCTCTGGCAACGAAAGGAAAGAAGGAAGGGAAGAGAAAAGACCCAAGAGGAATCAGTGAGAAATTCAAGTAAGTCCTCTCGGAAAGATTTAAGAAGAAAAAAAAAAGTCTGGCACAACCGTGTACTGATCTCAGTGCCGGAGGCTGAGGGCTGAGCCTGCGCTGACCTGAAACGTGTCAGGTTCAAGCTCCTGACCAGCTTGAGGACTAGGGGAAGGGGACTGTGGTGTCATAGACCGAGTCGAGGATACCTGTCTCTCTCTTTCATGCAAGCACACATGTCTTCTCATGAATGAATAAACTGTAAGAAAAAAAAAAAAACTAAGAGAAAAAAGATAAAAACAAGGCCAATGCTAGAATTTCACAGAACGGGGGTGGGGGGAGACCACGATTTTCAAAGAAACCTAAAACACTTTCCCAAACTGAAGGAAACCAGAAAGCAAGACAGACGCCAAAAGCCTAGGGCCAGTGGAAACCTACACACTCTGGCCAGAACACTTCATGGCAAATTTTCACAACAAAAATTTCAGAGGCAAAGAACGGGTCATATAAAAAGACCTGTTATCAGAAATGGCAGGCTCCAAGACGATGAAGCAACGACTTCGAAATGCTGATGATTTCCAAACCTGGGAATACTGGTTAAACATCTTAAGACAGCGAAGGTCTGAAAGTGTTCTCTATGGACCCTTTCCTCAGGAAGCTCAGTGAAGGACTACTCCTAAATGAGAAACGACCAAGCCAGAAGACTAGGTGCTCCGCAAACAGATGATCTAACTTAGGGAGATAAAGTTGAGCCTCAGGTGCCAGAGGGCCTGGAGAGATTAGTTCAAATTGGAGCCCCAGTACAACTCCAGAAAAGAAAAAGAAACTGTTCTGTATGGAAAGACAGTCTTCAGGGGGCTTTTGCAATTCTGTGGTGAGTTTGGAAAGATTTAGTGGTAGAAACATAGAAACTTTCAAAGGAGACAAAAAGATAAATAGAAAAGCAGTTGTACAAGAAATGCCATGCAGTGATAATAAATCACTTGACTCACATGAGCGTGCCACATAAGGCAAGTTAAAAAACAACTACTAATCTAATAAAAACTCGCCACCTCTTGATTGGGAGACTAGAAAGGGGGTAATGGGAGAAGGAGACAGGGGTGGCAGCAGCCACATTCTCATCTGCCTTAACGGGAAGTTACGAAAGTAAAACTATCAAGAAATACCTGTGTAAGTAGGTAATTACAAAATGTGAATGAAAATATGCTAAAATAACTCAAGGAGTTAAACAGAGATGACTCAGTGGAGCAGCAACATTTCAAGCCAGGGACTGGTGGGACCAGCAGTTGGCGTAATGGCTATGTTGCTGGACTCCCATGTAATGGACCGCGGTTCGAGCCCCCCCAGACCTGGTGGCTTAAACTCACACCGGGTGCGCGTGTGTGCGTGCCCAAGATCCCAAGAGGAGAATGGAGGAGAAGGGATTGCGGTGTGGCCATACCCCCCTGGGGGTGGTGGTGATTTCTTGCATTCTGTCGGTTTTTCTGGTGAGTGCACACGCCCTACAGAAAAAAAACAAAACAAAACAAAAAAACAAAAAAAAAAACCCTCTCCCAAAAATAAAAAAAATAAATAAAGCCAGGTGCTGCACTATAACTCCTCTAAGGTTATTTGGGCAGGTTATATGGGCCAGACAGGTGGAATGTGAAGGTGGGTGGCTGGATACCACAGACCAAGGGTCTTAAAAAACATAGCAGGTGTGTTGTGCGCGCCTGAAGTTCCTAGAGAGAAGGTGGAGAAAGGATTGGAGTGTGGCCATCCCTTCTGGAGTATTATTTCTCATTTTCCCCTCTCTCTGGTGATCCTACACACTATAGCAAAACTGGGAGAAAAAAAACATCTAAAATGGCCTAAGATAGTCCCCTTAATTCTCTTCAAAATATAAAACCTATTAAATTAGCATAAGTAATTTTCTAACTGACAAAAGTCACAAATCAAAATATGTACTAAACCCTAGAAAAGAGCTCAAATCAATCCTTTTCAAACCTTGCCTGCTCAAATGCTTTGAGCATTTGTTACAATGAAAGAAATACCAATGTGGGCCAGCAGGTGGCATAGTGGTTAAAGCGCTGGACTTCCTTATGGCTGGCTGGGATTGGGGGCCGACCAAGGGTCTTAAAAAACATAGCAGGTGTGTTGTGCGCGCCTGAAGTTCCTAGAGAGAAGGTGGAGAAAGGATTGGAGTGTGGCCATCCCTTCTGGAGTATTATTTCTCATTTTCCCCTCTCTCTGGTGATCCTACACACTATAGCAAAACTGGGAGAAAAAAAACATCTAAAATGGCCTAAGATAGTCCCCTTAATTCTCTTCAAAATATAAAACCTATTAAATTAGCATAAGTAATTTTCTAACTGACAAAAGTCACAAATCAAAATATGTACTAAACCCTAGAAAAGAGCTCAAATCAATCCTTTTCAAACCTTGCCTGCTCAAATGCTTTGAGCATTTGTTACAATGAAAGAAATACCAATGTGGGCCAGCAGGTGGCATAGTGGTTAAAGCGCTGGACTTCCTTATGGCTGACTGGCATTGGAGCCCCAAATCCAAAAGGATCAATGAAGAAGGGGTTGTAGTGTGGCCTTCCGTCTGGGAGTGATTTCTCACTATCCTCACTAATTCTGGGGAGCACGTGTGCCTTATGGCAAAAATCTAAAAGAAATACAAATGTTAGAACATGACTACGCCTTGTGTAATAAATACAAGATAACTCCAAAAAGTTTGTGGAAAAAGGAATTACAGCATACGTTTATTTAGGTGGCAAAAAAAAAAAAAAATCCATGCTGTTTTTTTTTCATATGTGGTCCATTAGCTTTTGAAGACTCTCTTGTATATGTCGGCAATTACTGACTATGATTTTTTTTTTTTTTCCTGGCCATAGGGTACATACACTCGCTGTAGAGAGACAGTAAGAAAGTGAGAAATCACCCAAGGGAGGATGTTCATGCACTAATCCCTCTCCTCCATCTCCTTCTGGGACTTTGGATATGCACATACATGCGTCTGGCATGATTTTCAAGCTGCCAGGTCCGGGGCTCGAATCACAGTTGACCATGTGGGAGTCCAATGCCTTAACCACCATGTCACCCACCAACACCTCTTATCCTAGCCTAAAAAGAAAATGTTTTATACTTTTTTGACATGAACTGGTAACCATGTATTCAGCATTTCAAATTAAATTTATATTAAGGGAGAATGCATTAAAGTATTGTACAATTTCTTAGTGCCTTTAACCCAGGTATTCTGATTAGGTTCTTAACTACTTCTTCTAGGGAAGCATTTGAATTTCAAGTCAGATTTTTGAAGGCATTAAAGCAGATCAGAAGTATTTTCTTGGATCTGACAGCCAGGAAAAGAAAAAAAAAATTTTTAAAGAGATTTTTGCTATAGGGCACATGCACTCACCGGAGACAGCCAGAGAGCGAGGAATCACCCCCCCAGTGGGGGATGGCCATGTGACAATCCCTTCTCCTTTGTTCTCCTCTCAGGATTCTGGGCACGTATGCACATGTGAGTTTTATGCCACCAGGTCTGGGACCTGAACCATGGTTGACTATGTGGGAGTCCAGCAATGTTAATTATGCCATCTGCTAGTCCCCCAAAAAATGATTTTTAGGGACAAAAAAAGTCTATCTTTTTAAAATACCAGAATTATCTTTGAAAATCTATTAGATGTTTAAACATTTTAAATTATTCTTTAATGATATTCTGATTTAAAAAAAGAATGGAAGGTTAGGGAAGGGAAAAATGGACATTAAAAAAAGTTTATTTCTAGCCCTGAAAGAACAAAATTATCAAACAAAGTATACTGAACAAAGTCATCAAATACAGCAGTTAATGTCAATGTAACAATTAAATAATTGAATGGGATTAAGTTAAAAATAAAAGGCAATATAAAATTTGAAGATGAAACAGGAAATAAGCTACTTTCATTTCTAGCTACCAAGAGAAGAAAGGGAAAAAGGTCAATACATTCCAGCCAAAGATGTTGTATTCCAAATATAAGTCTCTTTCTTCTTAAAGAATGAAAATTTACCAGAATTATCACACATTTCTTTCTGCCTGTCTTGGAAACCTTCGAGAATGGTGAATGAGAAAGACCGTTCTTTCAGGGCCAGGCCAGTGCTCGGTTTTTCTCTGTAACTCCAACATCTATCAATAGCATTTTTGCCAGAGTGTGCAGCAAATGTTTTGCGTAAGAAAATGTGTGTGTGTGCGTATACATTCATCCATATATATATTTTCTGCTTATACACACATACACGTGCACTGCAGAAAAACTGATTTTAAATGTTCACAAATCAGTTGTGGGAGAGCAGTAGAGCAAGAGAAGACAATTTGCTTTTTATATTACTAAGAAATTCTGCTATAAAAAAAACAAAATAGGTGTTCATCTTGATTTTAGTTATATTATAATGGCATTTCAACAGTTCACTGGATAGAAATCTCAGTATATTTTTCAAAAATTTTAGATTCAAAAATTGATGCAAATTCTTTAATCACCTTTAAAAAAATTTTTTTTTTTTTTTTAAACTACAGCTACTGCCAGGTCAGATCTAAAATTATTCTGGCTAGGAATATGGTATATACAGACAGCTGTATTTAAGTGAGCCTTAAAAGGAATACCCATAGGTAGTTTAAAATTGCTTGTTAAAGGCACAGGTTCACTTAGGACTGATGGTTACTAGGTAAGTTTTAAGCAGCTTGATATTTCTAAGTGTAAGGGAGGCGAATTCTTGTTACAGGCCAGGCATTCAACACACGAAGACAAAGTTGTGTCAGCCATGGTGCCTTGTGCTACATAGTCTCGTGTTTACTATTCTAGGTAGAATAGAATGTTCAATTTTCCATAGTTCCCCGTTTTGAACTGTCCCTAAAAGCAGCAAAAGGAACATGAGAAGAAGATAACTTTAAAACTACCACAGAGTCTAAAGACTAATAAATAAGTACTACAGTAACAATGGCCTAATAGCACAAGGGGACTACCTAGGTGACTTTTAGATCTAAATGGGAATTTTCGTTCTAAAATGATGACAGAAAGTGAATACAAAAGGCAATTATTAAAAAGACACGAATCTTGATTCAGATATAATTATTCTTTCAACAAGATCTGAACATTTTAATTTAAAATTAACTAATAAATCACAATTCTGTATTGCTTTTAAGATTATTTTGTTTAAAAATGACACATTTCAGAATTAACCAAAGTATCTTCTATTACAGGTTAGTTTCTCCAGGTAAGTAAAGAACAAACTACGGTATACCTCCCTTAACCTAGGTTAAGTCAGGTTTTAACGGCAAAGTCCGTTGCCAGCAATGGACGTACAGGTAACCATCAAAGAAGCTGTAAATACAAATCCCAAACTGCTCCTCCCTACCCCAAGCCCTCTGCGAGTCACAAGCGTGAACGGGGCCCTGGCGCGTGTTCCGTTAGTTCGGTCTGACTGAGGATGAGGTGCCTTCTCGAGGACGGGCACGGTCTTATCTAGTGCGCTGCATCTTTCACCGGTAACATCTTTAGTATAGTCCATCCAGACGACCGCTCAGAAAGAATGTTCCAACTGGAATTCAAGAGGCACTATAGATTTCTGCCAGAAATAAACCAGCTTGTTTCTGTAATTTAGCAATAGCTCTTGAAGGCCAAGATGTCCAGAGAAATTCAACAGAAAACAGAAACCATTAAGTGCTGTAGATACAAGCTTCATTAATTATTTTACTCAGTTTTTCCTGAAAACCTTTCGGCATTATCAGTAAAAAACACACATTTCAATCCTTATAATACCTGTATTTTAGCACAGATATGACAGGAATAATGGGGAACAAAACCCTGCTAGTTTCCCCAATGCTCTCCAGAATGGCAAAATTACTTCTGTCCATGATTTGTACTACTGCGGGATGGCAAGCAGGTGCGGAGTTAACTGGGAGAGGAGGGCGGGAACAGAACGCCAGAACCAAACTACAGATTTTTCTTTTATGTGGTTCCAGACACATCCGAAGGGCAGTACATTCTCCAAACACAAAACGACAACGAAAATAAAGAAGTGGGGGGAGGGAGCACTTTAATAATGCTACAGGTCACAGACCTCCTCTTAATCTTTAAAATAAAAACTGTTACTATCAACAAGCACACTACACTTTTCTCCCTTTCTCCAGCTTTTGACACGAATATCCTCTAATTATCTGGAAAATAAAATGAAATGAAAGTAACTCAACATCTCCAGGACCCCAAGAATTTATCGAGCAGTACTCTGCCACGTAAGTTCTTGCGGACAGTAGCACTGTAATGGAGGCTGGGGATGGTGTGATTTACAACGAAGCTCTAAGTTTACTGGTCACAAGGTGCATCTTCTTTATGACACGGACATTTTCTCTTTCATGACTACAGTATCACATAATTATTTTAGAAATCACCAAGGTTCAAGTCCCTCACTTTATCTCTGTTCGTCCCCAATATTTTTCCTCCTTTAAATGGGAAAAAAAAAGGTTAACCTTCAAATTTTGAAAATACAATGGTTGTTAACTGCCATGGGGGATGGGAAAGAGAGGGGTATGGGTGAGGTGGGAGAGGGTTAATTAAAAATAAAAACAAACAAAATAAACCTCAACCTAAAATTACAACATATACAGAAACTTATTTTCAAAACGAAGGGGAAGGCGGGAGCATCAAGCGAGGTCACAAAGCTCAAGCTGGTACAAGAACAAAGCTCTTTGTTTCCCGCAGCCCACCGTGAAGAGGAGACGGCAGGGAAGGCCAAACTTGATACAGGGGTGTGTAGTCAATGGGGCTCCCTCTGTCTCAGTGATCTAGCTATAAATATAGATATTAGTCTTCTCTCTATACATGTAACAAATGCCAAACTCGCTAGCACGAATTTCTAAAACCGACTTTCACATTTGTTAGAAAAGGTAAAAATCACATACTTGTCTTCGTTTCCTCAGTTCAAGTTCTGAACTGGAAGATGACAAATCGCAACAGCTGGTCCTAACTTCTAGATGAAGTTAAACCACATGGAGGCCTCTGCCAGTATAAGGAGCTCTTAATTTCTATCATACTTGCCTGGAATTTAGGCATGAGGAAAAAAAAAACCAAAACATCTCAAAGCAACTTAAAAGGAGCAAGTCAAGGAAATGGGAAGATAGGGGAGAGAGAAAAGATAGCAGATGATGAAGCCAGACTGAAGAACTCGCATCTCCCATTCAAGTACAGAAAACACCCAGAAGGGGACAATGAGCGAGGTCTATTATGACTTCAGCAAAATAAAACGCAACTGTCAAGCATGAAAATGACCCTGTCAGGTTGTGTGCCGACAAACATAAGGCGAGTGGTTCAGTCCACACTTCTTCCTGGACCCTAAGGAAGGGCTTCATTTCAAAGTCATAATTCTCTTTCTGCCATTTTCTCTTAGTTGTCTTCAGGGAATAGCACTTTGCTTTTTTTTTTTTTTTTTTTTTAAAAGGTGTTATATAGACCATTTTTAAAAAACCCCCAAAGAGTAATAATTTCATATATTAAAAGACTTCTTTTAGAAAATAGAAAAAAGAACAGGAGGCCACAGTTTTGATGTTAACGGTTACTCTTCATTGCTTCTTTCGCTGCCATAATCAGCGGCGTCAAGCTAGACAATGGTTTGGCCAGCTTCAGAAAGGGGTGCTGCCAGGAGAGGGGGAGAAAACAGATGCATAAATGTTACCAGTTTAGAAACAAAGTCTCTTCCTTCAAGTAAGTCCCAAAGACTACTTATGGATCATAATTTGAGAAACAAAACACATCTTAGTACCTGTATAAAACTAACACAAGCAATACATCACTTTTATAGTTGAAAACAGAGTTGTTTTCATTTTAATTTTCCTATGATCATAATCTGCAGTTAAATGACCTGCAAACAGATTCACGCCGGCAATATACAGGCCTGAGAGTAATATGCAAAAACGTGTTGTTGGGACCAGCAGTTAACATAATGGCTATGTTGCTGGACTCCCATGTAGTTGACCGTGGTTCAAATCCTGGACTCGGTGGCTTAAATTTAGGCCGGGCGCATATGTGAGCGTACAAGATCCCAAGAGGAGAATGGAGAAGAAGGGATTGTGGCATGGCCATCCCCCCTGAGGAATGACTTCTTGCTTTCTCTCTCTCTGTCTCTGTCTTTCTGGTGAGCACACCTGCCCTATAGCAAAATCCTCTCAAAACAAAACAAAACAAGTGTTGTTAAGGTATTACAAGAACTTTACTCCTAGCAGATGAAACTCTAAGAGGTGGCAGAGGCTACACTACTGGTGATCAATGAATGGTGAAACACAATGATTTATTCTACTGACACTTTCTGCTGGTTACTCAGAAAAGTCAACTTTCCTCCAAAATGACATAATTTCCAAATTTACCTGTAATAATTCTTTGGCTGAACCCCTTTTCTCCACATCCATTTCCAAACATCGATTTAAGAAATCTCGAAACATTGGGGAAAGTTTCTCTGGGTTCTGAAGTTCTGGGGTTCCATTAGTTGCTATCAGGTACAAGGCCTAAAAACAGAAGAACATCTTTAGATATACCAAAGGTGGCTCAGCAAGCTGAAAGAAGACTTCATGGTTTAACTCTGTATAACCAATTCCCAGTGCTTACAACCTTCTCTCTCTCTTTTTTTTTTTTTTTGGAGAAGTTTTCACTATAGGGCGCGTGCGCTTGCTAGACAGACAAGAGACAGAGAGACAGAAAGCGAGAAATCACCCCCCGGGGGGATGGTCACGCTGCAATCCCTTCTCCTCCATTCTCCTCTCAGGATCTTGGGCACGCATGCACACGTGCCCGGCGTGAGTTTTAAGCCACCGGGTCTGGGACTTGAACCGCGGTCGACTACGTGGGAGTCCAGCGACATAGCCTTACGCTAACTGCTGGTTCTCCCTTACAACCTTCTCTTTACTTTGGGAGAAATCTATTTTTTTTTTAAAAAGATTTTTGCTATAGATTGCATGCACTTGCTGGAGACAGTGAGAGACAGAAAACAAGAGATCATTCCCAAGGGGGTATGGCCACGCTGCAATCCCTTCTCCTCCATTCTCCTCTTGGGATTTGGGGCACACATATACACATACCCGGCATGAGTTTCAAGCCTCCAGGTCTGGGATTTGAACCATGTTGGCCGAGTGACGTAACCACTATGCTGTCTGCTGGTCCTGGGATGAGTCTTATTATACTCTTTATCTTCACTTACGTTCATGAAATAACCCCGGATCCCAGTCTCCCCGCCCAATGCCGTATCCACCTCTCTTTCACTCACAGTGGCTTTTCTCTCCCACAACCTGAGGCCTAGAGGAGAGGTGGGCTCTGGCTTTTTGGTTCCTCACTGCACTTTGAGATGTCTCTCCCTCCTCTGTAACTCCTGAGTTTTCAAATGTGTATTCACCTTTCTTTATTCCAACATCTACCAAACCTGAAGTCACCTACCTCCCATCCTTCCTTTCTTCGGTAAAACCTTTTGGCTCACTGTGAATCTCTAACACCACTCCTGACACAGTGCATGGCAATTTCGACAGTCACACAGATGCTCCTCACTGTTCCTCGATGTCTTCGCTGATGCTCCTGCCGGTCAGCCTACCTCAGCCACACCCGCCACGGCCATACCCTGTAGCAGTACCAATCTTTTTCATCCCCAGTACCCCAATGGCAGCAATCCTATGACGATCCCACTAGGACCTCGTTCCCATCAATCCCTCTGGTGCCCATCATTCCTTTCATGTACTCACTTCCTTGAGCCTCTCACTTCCCAGCATGCACCTGGCTCTTATGGCTGAAACTCTGCTTGCTCCTTGCCTGTGCCTACACAGCAGGAGAAAAACACATCCAGCGGACGGGCTGACTGACCTCGTATGCACCCTCTGCTTCCAGCAACCACACCACAGTTGCCTGTTCCGTTCGCTCTCCCACTCTCCTGTCTTCTGTCCAGGACACATGATACAGTTATCACGTCTCCTTTGACTCCTCTCGACTATGCCAACTTCTCACACTTTCCTTGACTTTGAGGACCTTGAAAGTTTGAGGAGTACTGGTAAGGTACAGGGTACCCCCTGCTGCAATCCATCTGATGTTTTTCTCATGATTAGATTAAGATTATGGGTTTGGGGAAGGAAAATACAAGTTAAGAGTACCATTTTCAGTGTGGATTCCCAGGTAATTTATACTGTGCGTGACAACCTCAGATGACTCTATTTTGTGTCAACTATCTCAGCCGTGGCCGTTAGCAGCTTTCAGTTGGCCTCAGGCCTTCTCTGACACATCTCCATCAATGGAGCCTTTCTTCTTTGTGTGTGTGTATACACACACACACACACACACACACACACACACACACACACCCCTAGAGAGGTCTTTGCTATAGGGCACATGTGCTTGCCGACAGACAGAGACAAAAAGTGAGAAATCACCCCCCCAGGGAGGATGGCCACACCGCAATCCCTTCTCCTCTCGGGATCTTGGGCACGCACGCACATGCACCCGCCATGAGTTTTAAGCCACCGGGTCCGGGATACAAACTGCGGTCGACTAAATGGGAGTCCAGTGACATAGCCATTACGTTAACTGCTGGTCCCTCTTGTATTTATATTTTTATGTTTAACTGATAACAACTGTGTGTGTAGGAGGTACAATGAATATTTTGCTCTATGTATATAATGTAAATAGCCTTCTTCTAAAAAAAAATTTATTTAACTTTATTTATTTATTTCCATTTGACTAGAGAGGGACAGAGTGAGAGAGAAAGTGAGAAAGCAAGCTGTCAGGTCTGGGACTTGAACCATGGTTAGCCATGTGGGAGTCCAGTGCCCTTAACCACCACGCCACCTGCCGGCTCCAGCCCTTTTCTTTCTTTTTGAAAAACTAGTTTATTTAATGAGAAGACGAGAGAGAGAGAGCGAGCAAGCAACCCCCAACAGAGTCTGGTCATATCACAATTCTTTTTCTTCCAATTCCTTATCCATTCAGGCTCCTAGGCAAGTATGTAATACACCCAGCAATTTTGTTTTGTTTAGTTTTTGCTATGGTGCATTCACTTGCTGGAGAGAGACAGAGGGAACTGAACTGTGCAGTTGGCATGTGGAAACCAGCCACCTTAATCTTCATGCAACATGCTGACCCAGTACCCAGCGTATTTTAAAAGCTGATGGAGCTGGGACTTAAATCCTGGTTGGCAATGTGAACTGGGCTTATTTTATACAGTGCTTAACTACTGGGCTAGGGAGCCAGCCAGACTTTTTCTTTTCTTTTGAGAGAGATTTTTGCTGTAGGGTACGTGCTCTCGCCGGAGACAGAGAGAGAAACAGAGAGACAAAAAGTGAAAAGTCACCCCTCAAGGGGGATGGCCACGCCATAACTCCTTCACCTCCAATCTCCTTTTGGGATTGTAGGCACGCATGCACACATCCTTGGGCATGAGTTTAATGCTGCTGGGTCCAAGACTTAAACCATGGTAAATTACGTGTGAGTCCAGTGACATAAATATTATGCCATTTGCTGGTCCCCAGACCTTTTCTTTAACTCAATAATTTTTTAATGATATATAGTTAGGGTAACAGATAGAACTCTTTTGTAATTTTAGTGTTGCTTAAGGCTTTATAGCAAGAATCCTTCCATCATCACAGTGTACCACCAAACTACTCCCACATCACACTCCATAGTGTAAGATCTCCCTCGACCTTTATGTCTTTATTGTCGTTTTACTTATGCACATATTCATCTCCTGTCTCTTAAGTAGTTTTATCTTTTTTTAAAATCATTATTTATTATCATTTAAAAAATTCAACCAGAGAGGGGCCAGCAGGTGGTGTGGTGGTTAAGGTGCTGGACTCTCACATAGCCGGCCATGGTTTGAGTCTCGAACTTGGCGGCTTGCTTTCTCACTCTCTTTCTCTCAGAGTGCATGTGCTCTATTGCAAATTAAATAATAATGATACATAAAATTAAATAAGTAATTCTTTAAAGAAAAACATTCAACCAGAGAGAGACAGAGAGGAGGGAAACTGAGAAAGAAAGCTGCCAGGTCCAAGACTTGAACTGTAGTTGGCCACGTGGGAGCACAAAGTCTTAGCCACCACATCACCTGCCAGCCCCCGTTTATAAAAAAAAAACTATCCAACTTTATTTATTTATTATTATTTTTAAATATTCTAGGTTGATCTCTTTTTTTCTTTCTTTCTTTTGCTATAGAGCATGTGCGCTCACCAGAGAGGGAAAGTAAGAAAGCAAGGTGCCAGGTTCAGAACTCAAATCACAGCCAGCCATGTGGGAGTCCAGTGCCTTAATCTTCATGCTACCTGCTGGCCCCCCCAAACAGTTTTAATTTTTTTGATTTAATTTATTCTAATTATTTTTGAATTTGACCAGAGAGAGAAAGAGGGAGAGTGATAGAGGGGAAGTAAGAAACAAGCGTTTGGGTCCAGGACTCAAACTCCCATCTGGGAGTCCGGCGCCTTAACCACCACACCACCTGCTGGCCCGAACAGTTTTAAATTCATTTATGTAAGAAAAACATTTACATGCTTACCCCTATAATAACTAAGTCTTTCATTTCACCCTAGTTTTTCAAAGATTTTCTGAATGTGAAATTCTAGGTTGATCTCTTTTCTTTCTTTTTATTTTAAGAGGTTTTTGCCTTAGGGTGTGTGGACTGGCTGGTTGGAGATCAGGGGAAAGATAGACAGTGAGAGGAAAAGTGAGAAATAAGCCCCCAAGGGGGATGGCCATGATCCTTTCTCCTTCAGAGATCTTGGGCGTGCAAGCCCATGTGCCTGGCATGAATTTCAAGCCACTGGGTCTGGGACTTGAACCACAGTTTCCCACGAAGGAATCCAGCGATGTAACTGCTATACCATCTGCTGGCTCCCTGATCTGTTTTTATTTTTTTAAATTATTTATCTAATTTCATTTATTTATTCATTAAAAAAATAATTATTTAACTTTATTTATTTATTTAAGTTGATCAGAGAGGGACAGAGTAAGAGCGAGAGCGAGAAAGTGAGAAAGCAAGCTGCCAGGTGTAAGTCTTAAACCACAGTCGGCTATGTGAGAGTCCAGCACCCTTAACCACCTGCGACCTGCCGGCCCCTAATTTGGGCCAGCAGGTGATATGGTGGTTGGGGCGCTGGAATTCCCACGTGGCCGCCTGTGGTTCAAGTCCTGGACCTGGCGACT